TCCTCCTTGCCTCGGGCTCCCGACCCTGGGCATCACCTTGACCTTGAAGTGACCTCTCACCAGCTCGTCCCATGAACGCGCGCTCCTTCCTCCCACCAGGAAGTCGTCACCATGAACAATCACCATCTGCAGGCGCTCCTTGTGGTAGTAGACTTGAACCGTCATCTTGATGCGGACGAAGCCCCCTTTCTCCATGACCTCCATGACCTTCATGACCTCCATGACCTCCATGATCAGGACGAGGCCCTCCTGGTGCCGTAGAGTGCCCTCTTCAGCTGGTACACGATGCCTTCGGGCTCCTCTCCCTTGGGCGGCACCACGTAGATGTGCTCGTCGGTGTACGCGTGGAAGAACGCCACCGACACATCCTAGAGAGCGAGCATGCCGTCGTAGCCGACCCCCTTGGAGTAGAGGTTTGAGGCGAAGGAGGCCACAAGCCTGAACGCGGCCAGAGGTGGCGCGCCTGCGAAAGTGTCGCCCCGTACGTCCCAGGCGAACTGCATGGCCATGAAGCGCGACCTGACCGACTCCCTGCCGTCGTCGTCGTAGCGCTCATCGTCGACCCACTTCCCGCGGACGCGCTTGCCCTTCGCGAAGTTCCTAGGCACGCGGTCGAAGACCTCGAACTCCACCATCTGCCTTCCATCTGCCTGTGCTCCTTCTCCCTGCCCTGCTTCACCAGGGAAGGGCCCAGCCTCCTGCCTGACCTAGCCCCGAACGCGTTCTGGTAGGTCGACCCCCTGTCGTAGAGGCTGCGCTTGTTGGTGCCCATTTCGCGGTCGCAGGGGATGGCGTCGCACGTCAGCGCCAGCACTGCGGTCGCCATGTTGACAAACAGGCCCGTGATCACCTTCTGTTTCCTCCTCGGCTTCTCCGCCACCACGGTCCCGTTCCGGTCCATCTCGATCATCCCGAGCTCCACTCCGCCCTGCTGCTCCTGCGTCGGATCCGAGGGGGCATCTGCCTCAAGCCGACGCCTGCGAGGTCGCCCGCCTTGATCTGCCTCTGGACCATGTAGGACAGCAGGTGGCGCTGGAGCCGACGCTGCTGGTGCAGGTTGCTCGTCGGCGGGCGCAGGCTGAGCAGGCTGATCTCCTCCTCCTGGGAGTGCTGCAGCTGCTGCGGAAGCGGCTGCTCGAACTGCTGCCTCCTGCTTGTCTTTCTCCTCCTCGGCCTTCAGCAGGCTCTCAATCCGATCTCTGCAGGACTTGGTGCGTGGGTGACCAAGCCCGTAGCAGCCGTCGCAACCAGGTGTAGATCCAACTCGATCGATGATGGCCCTCGCGATGCAGCGGCGGCGCGGGGGGGGGGCGGTGCTGCCTCAGGTCCTGCGCGAGTGTCCCACGGCGTGCACTCGACCTTGTTGACCAAGCTCTTGGACCATCGCTGGCCCTCAACTCGCCCGTTGATCGTCCTCGCCGTCTCCCGACCGGCAGCGGTCGCAAGGAAGTGCTCGTCCGTGCGATTGTCCTTCCCGACCCAGACGGCTTTGCCCCAGCGGATATCCGCCTTGTGGTGGGCCACGTCTTGGATCTTATCCATCACCGTCTCGCCGAACTCGCAGATCGCCCCCCCGTGCGCGCGGCCACTCGGGTGCTGGCAGGGCGCGAGGACATCCTCCTTCACTGGGTACCTTGACAGAAGCCATCCTGCATGCCGAATCATCCAGCCCATGATCCAGTGGTTCAAGGTGAGCTCGGCTGCACCTCGACTCGATCGATGCCCTCAGTGTGCGGAACATGCCTTCGACCATCTTGTTGGCGTTCTCGATCGCCCCCTTGCTCTTGGGATCTCGCTTAGGTCCGCTGTGAGGCACCGTCTCTTCCTCTCAGGCCAGCTGCGCGGCTCGGACCAAGGCTTGGATAGCGGGTTCTCCATCAGCTCCAAGAAGAACGCGGCTGAGGCCCCACATGCGCATCGCCGCCGTCGTCACTGCTACGGCATAGCCCGCAGGCCCATTCACGGTCATCTGCGCGCACTCGATCGCGCCCGACTGGCACTCCAGGATGTTCAGTACCGCGAAGGGGTCGCCTTCGATGTCACCGAGGAGCAAGTACTCGATGCAGACCAGCGGGATCAGGCGGCCGGGGTCCGCTAAGCGCGCGCGAGGGCCCTCCTGGCCACGGCCCATCCCCCACACGCACCCACGGCGGGGGCGGGGGGCAGAAGAGCTCCCAAGAGGCCTCCAGGAGACCCCAAAGCGGTTCAAACACTGCTTCCCGAGCGCCCCCGAGACGCCCCCCCTCCCACGAGACCCCGTCTGCCACCCGCGTGGCATCAGACCCGCAGCCCAGACGCGGCGGCGGGATGTGCCGGGAGCCATTCGATAATCAAACGAGCTCCAAGACGCCCCCAAAGGCTCCCAAGAGGCCCTCAGGAGCAGCACGCAACAACCGCCAGTCCCCAAAGAGGTCGGCGGTGCGGCGTAAGCCTCTCGTTCTTGCGTTTTCGGGCTTCCGACGCTCCAAGACGGCCCAGAGGCTCCAAAGAGCGCCCCAAGATGGCCCCCAGAGGCCCCCAAGACGGCCCATGACGGTCCAAGAGGGCTCCAAAAAGTCCTCAGAGGCGCCCAAGATCGCTCAAGAGGACCCCGAGACGGCCCAAAGAGGGGCCCAAGAGGAGAACACACTAACCACAAATTCAAGCCTTCCGCCCGCAGGGGATCCCTGGAGGCCCCAAGAGGCCCTCAAGACAACCCAGGAGGCCCCCTGCCGGCCCCACGAGGGCCGCATAAGAGGCCCCCAGACGTCCGCCGAGAGGCCCCAAGAGGCCACGAACTCGCCGACAAACGCTTGAGATGGTGCCAGTAGCAGTAGCACTAGCATTAGCAGTAGTAGTATAAGTAGCAGTAGTAGTCTTAGTAGTGGTAGTGGTAGTAATAGTAGTAGTAGTAGTAGTAGTAGTAGTAGTAGTAGTAGTAGTAGTAGTAGTAGTAGTAGTAGTAGTGGTAGCAGTAGTAGTAGTGGTAGAAGAGGAAACTTATAGTAGTAGTAGTAGTAGTAGTAGTAGTAGTAGAAGTAGTAGTAGACGTAGTAGTAGTAGTAGTAGTAGTAGTGGTGGTAGTAGTAGTAGTAGTAGTAGTAGTAGTAGTAATAGTAGCGGTAGTCGCCGTAGCAGTAGTCGTAGTAGTAGTAGTAGTAGTAGTAGCAGCAGTAGTAGCAGGACTACTACTACTAGTAGCAGTAGTAGCAGTAGTAGTAGTCGTACTAGTAGTACAAGTAGTAGTAGGTAGTAATGTAGTAGGTAGGTAGGTCGGTCGGTAGGTAGGTAGGTAGTAGTAGCAGTAGTAGGAGCAGTCGACGTCGCAGTAAAAGTAGTAATAGTAACAGTAAAGGTAGTAGTAGGTAGTAGGTAGTAGGTAGTAGGTAGTAGGTAATAGGTAGTAGGTCGTAGGTAGCAAGTCGTAGCAGACGTAATAGTAGTAGTAGTAGTAGTAGTAGTAGGAGGAGGAGGAGGAGGAGTAGCAGTCGTAGTAGTAGTAGTAGTGGTAGTAATCGTAGTAGTAGTAAAAGTAAAAGTAAGAGTAGTCGTCGTAGTAGTAGTCTGGAGTAGTATAATGTAGTCGAAGTAACAACAATAGTAGTACTAGCAGTAGTAGTCTTAGTAGTAGTGGTAAGAACAATAATGGTGACAGTAGCAGTAGCAGTAGCAGTATCAGTAGCAGTAGTAGTAGTAGTAGTCGTGATAGTAGTAGCAGCAGCAGTACTAGTAGGAGAAGTAGTAGTAGTGGTAGTAGCAGTTGTTGTTGTAGTAGAACTAGTGATAGTAGTAGTCGTAGTAGTAGTAGTCGTAGTGGTAGTAGTAGTAGTAGTAGTAGTAGTAGTAGTAGTAGTGGTAGTGGTGGTAGTGTAGTGTAGTAGTAGTAGTAGTAGTAGTAGTAGTAGTAGTAGTAGTAATAGTCGTAGTAGCAGTAGTAGTAGTAGTAGTAGCAGTCGTAGTAGTAGTAGTGGTAGTCAGTGTAGTTGTAGTAGTAGCAGGAGTCGTCGGCGTAGTAGTACTCGTTAAAGTAGCAATAGTAGTAGAAGTAGTAGTGGCGGTCGCAGTAATAGTAGTAGTAGTAGTAGTAGTAGTAGTAGAGCTAGTCGTAGTAGTAGTAGTAGTAGTAGTAGTAGTCGTAGTGGTAGTACTCGTAGTCCTAGTGGTCATAGTGGTAGTCGCAGTATTAGTAGTAGTAGTAATATAACTGATAGTAGTCGTTGTAGTGATAGTAGTAGTAGTAGTAATAAGTCTCGCAGTGGCAGTATACGTATGGATAGTAGTAGAAGTAGTAGTAGTAAGCATCATAGTTGTAGTAGTCGGCGTAGTAGTAGTAGTAGTAGTAGTAGTCGTAGTCGTAGTGGTAGAAATAATAGTAATCGTAATAGTTGTACTAGTTGTAGTCGTAGTAGTCGTAGTCGTAGTAGTCGTAGGTAGTAGTAGTAGTAGTAGTAGTAGTCGTCGTAGTAGTGGTAGTAGTAGTAGTACTAGTAGTAGTAGTAGTAGCAGTAGTAGTAGTCGTAGTAGTAGTCGTAGTAGGTAGTAGTAGTAATAGTAGTAGTAGTAGTAGTAGTAGTAGTAGTAGTAGTAGTAGTAGTAGTAGTAGTAGTAGTAGTAGTCGTAGTCGTAGTCGTGGTAGTCGTAGTAGTCGTAGTGGTGGTGGTGGTGGTGGTGGTAGTAGTAGTAGTAGTAGTAGTAGCAGTAGCTGTAGCCGTCGTCATCGTAATCGTGGTAATCGTAGTAGCAGCAACACTAGTAGCAGCAGTCGCCGTAGCAGTCACCGCATCAGTAGCAGCAGTAGTAGCAGTCGCAGTGGCCACTGCAGCAATTGTAAGAATGATAACGTCGTCGCTGCCACAGTCGTCATTATCGTCTGTTTTCGTCTTCGTCGTCGTCATCCTCCTCGCCGTCGTCGTGCTCCTCGTGGTCGTCGTCGGCGTCGTCGTTGCCGGCACTGGGCACTGTGGTTGCCGACGTGGTCGTAGCACGGGCGGCCGCGGGGCGGCGCGCGCGCCCCCCCCCGCCTCCGCGGAATCGGGGCCGAGCCTGGGGCTGCAGCGGCTCCTCCGGGCGGGGCGAAGGGCGCGGCCCCCGCACACCGCCCCTGGAGGCCGAGCGGTGACCTTCGGCGATCCCCTGGTGACCGTTTTCTCTGCTTCGGCGGTTCGACATTGAGCGAAAAGGAAGGGAAGGGGGGGGGGCTGGCTCTGGACTGAAGCCGGGCATGTCCCTCTAGAGGAGGAATATTGAAAAACAGAAGAGAACTATTCAGGGGACGATGCTTCGACTATGATTACCGTATTCTCGAGCATTTTTAGGGTATGTTTCATTGTTCGTCCAATATTCGCCTGTAGGTGGACACGCCCGACCTAACTCTGGACCCCTGCTCCGTGCGACTGTTTGGAACAGTGCTCCCGTGGGGACTCCTATGAGGAGCCGTCCACCTGCTTGCCACAGGCGCCCAAAACAGCCAAGACCTACTCCATCGGGGGAGGGTCGGCGGTGGACAAACCTCCCTTTAGCAAACCACCCTTCAGTGAAAACGGCGTAGGACCGAAACCGACGGACCTGGACCCGCAAGGACGACGGCCCCGACGCCCTCTCGCGAACCGAAAACGGCCCATTTGCTAATCGACGTGTCAGGGTAGGATTAAGTCGGGCGTGTCCCCTACAGGGGGATTTTCTGCGAAAAGTAAAAAATACTCGAAAGATACCCCCAAACTATTCAAAAATAGTACAGAAATCGTCCCCTGACTATTTTTTGACTATCGTTGAATATTCCCCCTGTAGAGGGACACGCCCGACTTGAGGGTAGGAGGTCTATCAACCTCCGAGAGGGGGGGTGCGTGCGAGGGCCCCCGCCGATCGGCAAAGCAATGGATAAGAAAACGATCCCCTGTGGAGCCATCCTAGGAGGCCTGGAAATGGGCACCAACACCAACACAGGGGGTTGCCTCCACAAGGGGAAGATTATCCTAGATTTCGGTGTTTTTGGGCAATGTTTCGGCCACCTTGGAAGCCAGGACATTACCCCCATCACCGAGGTCGGGATCTTCCTCCCTCGGTAGAGGCGCACCGCCGATATCGGTGTTGGTGTCAACCTCCAGGCCTGCGACACCCACTGTCTGGCGACAGCCGGAGGAGGCCGCCGCGCAGCGGCCTCCCTCGCCGGAGCTACGGGCCAGGGGCGCCTGCGGACACGCGGGCTGCGGGAGAGCCTCCGGCCCTCGCGGCGGCGGGCTGGCCGGTCCCGGGAGGCGGCAGAGGCCGAGGACGGGGGGGGGGTGAGTCTCGTTTCACCGATCCCCATCCCCAGGGGCGTGGCCTGGGCCCCGGTGGCCGATGTACCCCCACAGATGGGGATATAGGCCGTCCCCCTCGGGTTTCGAGGGGCGTATCCCCAACTGGGGGGGTAAGTTGGCGGGGGTCTCGAAGGGAAAGGGGATGGGGGTCGGTTAAATGATACTGAGGGGGGGCAGGAGGAGAGGCAGGGAACTAGAGATCCGACGCTCCAACACAAAGTGCAGCGGCGGGATTTTCGCAGTCCGGGGCCTCCAGGGGCCCTCGCGGGGCCTCGGGAGCGTGAGAAAACTACTCGGGACGAAGAACCGGCCCCAGGGAAGTGGTCTTAGGTCGGGCTGGTCCCCCTACAGGGGGATTTTGGGCGAAAAAAAACGAAAAAAAAATCAAAATGCTTAAACATACTTCAAAAACAGTCCCCTGACGATTTGTTCACTATTTTTGAATATTCCTCCTGTAGAGGGACAGGCCCGACGTAAAAGTGGTCCAGACCTCCCGGGCTCACGCACCGAACAAAAATGGAGCATCTGGATGTCTGGGAAGGCGGGAAGGTAGAGCAAGAGTGACATCATGGTCAGGTTGGCTCAGGATTCCTTCCAAGAGTTCCAAGGAGTATCTCGTGGCGCAGCCGGTGCGGAAGAGCCGGAAATGTGGGACATCCTGGAAACGTTGGGAATCCTGGAACATATCGATATTCTGACTTAGTGCTCCTCCGGGAAGAGGACGGGGCCCGAGATCTGGGCGCTGCAGCCTGGCTCCAGGCGCGCTCGCCAGGCCACGGGCCCCAGGGCTCTCCGGGACCAGTCCTTCCGGCACGAGATGCCGCAGAGAAATGGGGTCAAGGACTTCGGCCGTGATTTGCCGCGATGTTGCACCTGTTTCGCGATGTCGGGCACAGTCAACCCGTATAGAAAGGATGCGCGGTAAGGATGCAAGGGCCTTGGAGGGCCATTCCGATGCTTTTCAAGCGAGGCGCGGCCAGAAAAAGTGGCCAAGGGTGGGCCGAAGGGACAAGGATGCAAGGGTATCCTGGGGAAGGTTGCCCATTCTTATGGTGCGGGTTGACTGTAGGAAGCGAAGCGTACAGAAGGAACACAAAGGCCGAACGTCGCTGGAATCGCACGGATAACCAGCATAGAGCCCACAGGGCCTCCAGAATGGAGGGGTGGCCCTCAGGAGCCTCATACTTTGGCTGTAAAAGCTTGTTTCTTTGTGGGTGCCAGAGGCAGACAAGTGCAGGCTCGACGTATTTCATTGCGGCTGCCTGCGGCGCATCGCATCTTGGGTATACCGCACTCGTATCTGTCCCGCGTGAGTAACGCGGACGTCATGGACAGAGCTGGCGCCATATCTGTTTCCCAGTTTCTGCCTGGAAGGCAGGAAAGCCTGTATCTCAAAATCGCAGCAAGCGGCTCCTCATCCTTGGTGCGCAAATGCTTATGTAATCTTGATGGTGCTCCTAAGAACTGGGTGGTGCACCGGAGACGCGGCCGACCCAGGCAGCAGTGGGCTACCGAAGTGCACAAGACAGCGCAGCACATCTGAGGTACCTCGGGTACAGCAGGCAGTGTAGCGGACACAATTTTGTTAGGACCGCCCGTCGTACGTCCACATTTGAGGTATTGTCCTCCACTTCCTCTCCCTCCCCTGTCTCGCTTTCGTATTTTTCGAAGAGTTGCCAATCGCGCGCTCTTCTGCCCACGCGTCCCTCTGGATGCTCGGCTTAGTGGTGGTGGCGGAAGTAGATGCAATCTCCGCCCGCCCCCTGAAGAGGAAGGAGGTAAGAGAACCACTCAACCCACGAAATAGGAAGGCCCCTACAGTAGATTGGGACCTCGCAATCCATAATTACTTAGTTTCAACGATCGTTGGATAACTAAACCCACCGGAAACCTGGCTCGAATGTCCATATCGGCCAGTGGGTCGCGCTGAAGGTACTCACAGATATCCTCCATCATCTCAAGCTCCCCCACCAGGAAGGCGAGTTGGCCAAGCGACATGTGCGTGTGCATGTGCGTGTGCGTGTGTGGGTGTGTCTGCACCGCTCGACTAACGCAACCCTGTCGCATGGGGGAAACGGGTCTTGAGGGAAACGGGTCCTGGGCCCGGGGCCTTCCCCCAGGACCACTTACTTGTTCATCCTGAATCGTTTCCTGACATTCCTGGGGCCCGTAGAGGGCCCTAAGAACACTGAACAGCGAAAAACCTCAGGACCCGTTTCGATCAGGATCCGTTTCCTCCATGGCGCAACCCTCCGCTCACGACGCCGGGTGGAATGCAACTCTCCTTCACGTCGGCAGACGGGTCCACCACTTGCCCTTCATCCACTGTGGCCCGTCGCCGCCAGCGGGCGCGCGCGCGGGCGCAGCTCAAGCGAGAGAGTCGTCGTCGTCGTCGTCGTCGTCGTCGTCGTCGTCGTCGTCGTCGTCGTCGTCATCGTCGTCGTCGTCGTCGTCTCCTTTCATCGTTTGTGCTGGGTGCGATTCGTGATGTGCACGCCAGTCTTCGAGGGCTCCGACTCGCCCTCGACCACTGCGGCGGGTGCCATCGACGCCACTCAAACGCGTCGCCGCGTGTGTGTGTGTGTGTGTGTTTGCGTGTGTGTGTGTGTGTTGTGTGTGTGTGTGCGTGTGTGTGCGTGTGTGTGTGTTTGCGTGTGTGTGTGTGTGTGTTTGCGTGTGTGTGTGTGTGCGTGCGTGTGTGCGTGTGTGTGTATGTGTATGTGTGTGCGCGTGTGCGTGCGCGTGTGCGTGTGTGTGTGTGTGTGTGTGTGTGTTTGCGTGTGTGCTTGCGTGTGCGTGCGTGTGTGAAAGGTTCGTGTATGTGTATATATATATATATATATATGTATGCATGCATGCATGCATGCATGCATGTATGTATGTATGTATGTATGTATGTGTGTATATATATGTGCGTCTCGCTGCGGCGTGATTCCAATCTTTCGCATGCTTCCAAATGAGGTGGTCAATCAATGTGTGTGTGTGAATCGATATGTCGATATATAATGTTCATATACAGCACAACCGGGCGGACGATGGATGCCAGACAATTTTATGAGAACTCCGACCGCAGGCGACATCAGCCATCCATCCCGGGCCCCAATGCCTAGGGCGAGACACGGGATCACAGGCCAGATGGCAGCAAAGGAGATCCCCAGACAGTGCATCACAAAGGATGCAAGCGACAGGGAGGGCGGGAGGGAGAGCTTGAGCCGCGTGCCACGGATAGCACACGGGACTGTGAATTCTCACATGCGGCATCCTTGCGGCCATACCCTCCTGAACTTACAGATCTAAAATCAACCAGCACAACCAGGCGGACGATGGATGCCAGACAATTTTATGAGAACTCCGACCGCAGGCGACATCAGCCATCCATCCCGGGCCCCAAGGCCTAGGGTGAGACACGGGATCACAGGCCAGATGACAGCAAAGGAGATCCCCCGAATCCTGCAGGAATGACTGGGCCACCAAGGCCGAACCAAAAAGTCAAACTTAAAACGAAACACAGTGGTCGCCCAAAGCCCCCAAGACGCACCAACAGGCAACAGTGTCAACACCCCCCAAGAGGATCGGTACCAGCGGCAACCCGACCATCAGGGAAGTACACGACGCTGCTACCTGCCAGGCAGCTAGACATCGAGTCCAGAGGCGAAGGCCCGCAAACGACGAATAGCGATTCGCATTGACCCATGGATCATTAACTTCGCATCGGACTGAGCCAATCTCGGCGGATACGAGGCAGCTAAGGCGGTCCAGTTCTTGCCGCCAGGAGCCTTTCCAGTCAAGACAATGTGTGGTTTCTGGGTCCTACTACACAGGCCGTGGCGACAATTGCATATCTTCTGGAGTGAGTGGAGAGAGGGAGAAAGCCAGGCAGAGATACGAGTGGGCTTCATCCATCGGGTGCCATACTGACACATGTGGAAAACAACTGGCTGATGCATAGGTTTTTGGCACAACTGTAGCATGCGGGGCGCAGACCACATCTGGGACAGGGCTGGGTTCTCGATATATACTGGAACACCGCACTTGATGCATAAATCAACTACTCGGCAACTGAAAGTAAAAGTGGCACTCCCTGCCGCCAGCCGTCCTTGCTCGGCCCGTGAGAGTAAAGCGGCAGGGATCCCCACCGGGCGGTCGCGCGAGCGAAGTGGATGACGGAGGGCCCTGCTCCAAGACGTGCAAGGGGTTCCCAAGAACACCCCCGAGACACATCCAGTAGAGATCCACCCACGAACGAGCTTGATGAAAGCAGGGCGCAGGTGATCCTCACCAGCCGAATTTTTAGAATCCAGGTCAAGGGCAGAAACGCCCAAGCCCAGAAGGGCCTTCGAAAGGGACCCGGACCCGGCAAACAACTCAAGAAACAAACGATACTGAGACGGATTATGGGACCCCTTTCCCCTATGTAACTCCTCTTTAAAACGGCACTGCAGGTGGGCGCGAATTTCAGAGGCACTGAGGGAGTAGGAGGGTCTCACTGGTGGCTTCTGTGATCTCCTGATGGGCGCAGCCTTCGGGCAGCTCGCACCGCCAGCACGAGCGTCGCTGGGATGAGGTGACCGATGCTGGCCTCCAGGGTCCCGTCTGCCATGACCGCCGCCCAGAAATGCTCCAACTTGAGATGTCCGAGACGAAATACGCCGCCGTGCGCAGAGCGGATCTCCGGCAGCAGCTTTGTCTCCTTGCCGTACCGTTCTAAACTCCTCACGGATGCCAACCAGCTTTGAAGCTCCCCCTGGAACGCGCTCCCTCGGCGACTGACCGAGCCGTCCAACGCGCCCCCGCGGCGGAGGCCGCACAGGTGGTCCGAGACCTGGGGGAAGCATAGGAGGCTTAAGCAGCGGCTGTACTTCGGCCTCAAGGCCACGACCGCGAACGACCACAGGCACTTGAACGTCTCGCCGGGCCTCAGGTAGGCAACGAATGACAGTGCGACCCAGACGGCCATCCAGGGCGCACCCGCCTCCACCAGCAACAGGCACATGGCCATGGCTACCGCCTTCGGCAGTGGCAGCCGGGCCCCCACAGGCACCCTCAGCTTCCAAGGGGTCGAGGCGCGAGCAGCCCTCGGCCACTGCTGCTCCCACTGCCCCTGCAAGCTCGGGTAGAGATCCGCGAGGCCGCCCAGCTGCTGCGCGCCGTGGTCGGACGACACGTTGTGGTGAGAGCAATCGTCCATGTGCTGGGCTAGGACCGCGCCCATCTCCACGACGTCGTGCCAGTCCAGGCCGCGCTTGGCGCACAGGTCCAGGAAGGCTGTCGCATTTTTCTTGTAGAGAGCCTCCGTCACCAGGCGGATCGCAATCTGTTCGAGACCCGTGAGGGGCCCCAATGGCTCCCGCTGTGCGGTCAGGCGCTGGGCGGTGGCAACGCGCGTCTCGCGCTGTGCTCTGGCCCGCTCCTTCGCCATTCCAGGCGCGGCCCGCGGCGCCGCCCACGGGCGGCAGGCGGCGCGCCGCGCGGAAGCCTGAGAACCATCCGAGATGGCCGCGGGAAAGGCGATCCGACGGCTTCCTCTCACTGGGGATCCAACGAACGCACAGACGGCATCCTGAAGCCAGTGACCACGAGGCCAGCTTCAACATGACAGACTGAAGGTGAACTGATTTCGCTCGGCCCTTGCAGCAAGCCAACGCCAGACACATGTTATCGACAAGGGCAACCACTCGCCGCCCCACGGCAGCACCAGCGCGCAGGATGTGCTTGTAGGCCAACACGAGGGCCTCACCCTCTAACTGCATGATATCGGCGTCGTAGCCCACCCGAACGGCCAAGACATCCTTCCAATCCTGGGGCCTCAAGAGGTCCGCGGGGATCTCCTCGAAGAGCAGGGGGTCCACGTCCATGAACCCGAGGGGCATGTAGTCCGGCGGGCGGGCGGCAGCCTCCGCGTAGACGACGTCCCGAGAGTCCTCGAAGTCCCTGGACTCCCGAAGTGCGTTGAGGCGAGCCTTCTCCGCGCCCTCCACACGATATCTCACTCCCTCGCTTACTCGACCGATCTCTGCAACCTGATCCTCAGAAAGTGATCGATGGCAAACTCCAAGACCGAACTCTGAAGCGTCCGAGGCACAGATCTGCGGATGCCACCCTGCACACATGTCCGTTGTGAGGAGAGGGAGAATAGCAACAATCCCACGAATCTCTAATGCCACCTGAGGCCAGAAGGGGGGTCACCACATCCTTTGCCGTCTCAATGAACGCGTAGCACGCATTCAGGATGGCCAAGGCTTCACGACGGACCATCGAGGACCACGTGATATGGCCAACTATAACTCTGAGCAAAACACCGCTGGCAGAACCCCTGGCCAAAAGGCGCTCAATGGCGAAGCGCAGGCGCCAGAGATTCCGAGGCTTCACAGACAGCCAGCGGCTGGCGACGAGGGGGGGCCCGAGAAAGGTCGAATCCCTAGACGGCCCACAGACTTCATGCACGAGGAGACCAACAGATCTGAGCCTAGCGCTAATCTGGTCAAAAGCAGCCTTCACATTTTTCTGAGACTGGCCCAGCACGAGGAACTTATCAACGTCGCCCGCAGCAGCCGCGTCATCGGCTGTCCTAAACACGACGCCGGGCCCACCGTCAGATATGACGCGACTCGGGCAGAAGCCCGCCGAAGGACATGAGTAAACCCGAATCGATGGGCGGCAAAGAGAACCATTCTATCATGTCAGCGGGAACCCGCATGTGATAACAGGCACACTGAACATCGCCTGAAGCGGCAAGACAAGGACCGCCTCTCGATTCGATGGCAGAGAAGGCGGAAGCCGAGGGGGGTCGAGTGGAGGGGGGGGGGCGTTGAAATAACAATTGGCAACTCTAGTGTCGAAAATGAAACGTAGTTGATCAGACTTCTCGGCCGCGCAGAATACTCCAAGGAGGCCCTTCCTACCCCGCGCAGGCTGAAAGCTTAACATCCCGCGCCGGGCCAGACAGGCCAGAAAGTCAGCGTACGTGGAGGGGGAGTGGGAGAGGATAGGGTCGATATAGGCTCCTTTGGGACAGGCCTCCTGCACCATAACCTGGGCCTCAGTTGCTGGCCTCAGCATGCGCGATCTCCAATCCTTAAGCCACGAGGAATCGGCCTGTGAGAGCAAACGATGAAGGTCAACAGGGGCCGCACCCTCATCAGGCCACGCAACGAGGTCACGCGAATAAGGGCGGGTGGGGCCCGCATCCCCGCACAATGAATGGTTGCTCAGAAGCTCGCCGGGGGCTCCCTGAGCGAATCCCGCCTCGCTGGGAGGAGGGCCCAGACGACAGTAGCAATCACTGAAGCGATCGAGTACTCTTGTCTGAGCAAGAGAAGCGGGGGCTGGCGCAGCCCCCTTATATCCTGACATCTGGTTGAGGGCCTTCACAGCATCATTCGCCCAATTGACTGAGTGCTGGAGGCGAAGGCGGCGACGGCGCACGGCCCCGCAGACACTCGCTGGGGCATCGGAGCGAGGGCCGAGGAGAAGGAGCGGGAAAACGTCTCTCTGCCGGTAGCTGCCACCAGAACGGGAAGTCAAAAAGTCGCTCGAGCCCGGGCCCCCCTCTCCCGGGCTCGGGGGTAACTCGCGTCCCATCGCCGGGCCCTGGACCATCCTTGCCGCCTTTATTGGCGCCTTTCTTGGCCAGGGCCCGCTCCTCTCGCGCCTTGCGGCGCTCCTTCGAGATCTGGTGCTCCTTCGAGAGTTGATCCTTCACGAAATCGGCCAGCTGGGGGCTCACGCACACACATCCTCGAATCATGTCCGTCCCCATGTACAGATGGTTGTCGGCCACACTGTCCGACCCCCCAGCCAGCCTATCACGGTATCGTTCTTCCTGCACTTGAATCACACGGCACAACGATTCGGCACACGCCAGGTTGGTGACCATGAGCTGATCGTAGAACACCATCTGCTCCAACATCCGACATGCTCTCTCATGTTCGTCAACCACCACGTCGGACGACGACAACTTGGCCTCGGTCCGAAATCGCATATGACGGCCCATGGGCCTTCCTCCATTTTGTTCCATGAACTTCAGCACCCACAGGACGGTCCGTGGGCCTCGGATTGGCCAGTCCGGCCACGCGTCCTCTCGCATCATCAGAATGGCGTCGCGGAAGGAACGGTGGCGGTTGCCCTGCACGTCAAGCGACGCGGGCTGCACGCGCACGTCGCTGATACCCTGAGGAGCAGCGGGAGCAGGCGCAGCACCAGGGAGCGGGGCCGCGGCGGCGGCGGCTGGCGCCGGGGCCAACGCCGGGGCCGCCACCGCGGGGGCGCCCGCGAGACCCACAGGGCCCGCGGCGCCCGCGGGGGCCATGCCCGGAGCCACGGCTGCTGCCGGCGCCGGTGGCGCCACGGCAGGAGGCAGCAGGCCCCCCCCGGCCCCGCAAGGGCAGCTCCCCCGGCGGCCAGCGCGGCCACGGGGACGAGCCCTCCACCCGGTGCTAGGCCGTCGGCCGCGCCACCTGCTCCACCGCCTGCCGCAAGCGTTCCTCCAGGCGCTGCGGGCGCGGGCACAGCGGCTGCCGCTAGGCCAGCCACACCTCCGGCAGCACCGCCTCCGACGGCCCCGACAGCTCCAGCAGCGGGCATCGGCATTCCAGCGAAACCAGCACGGCCGACTACGTTCACCGCGAAGCTTGGGCGCAATGGCAGGCCAGGGCGAGCTGCAGCAGCGTCTCGAAGTCACTGCATTGCCGCAGGCAACGGCACATTCCGAAACCTGTGCACATGATCGGACCCGACGGGTCCAGCATCTCGTCCGACTGCCCCGCCCTCCAAGATCGCGAACTCCCGGATGTCGCCTCCAGCTGACAGATCCTCCTCGTGCTGATCACCGTCCGGGGTTAGAATGCTGAGAATCGGCTGGGCCCAAGGAGGAATCAAGAGGATTATCCTTTCATGCCAGATCCGGGGCCCACCACTCCGTAACGCACGGCGATCACGTCGCCCTCCCACAAGCCCAAGTGGGCCAAGGGATTAGCCATCAGCTCACACGTTGAGTCGCCTGGCTGCGGCTACGAAATCGAGCGGCCTGCTCACGGGCGATGTCCTCGATCGAAAGGGAGATGTCTATCTTGGGCGTGTCGCCAGTGCAGGCCTTCTGGTCGCAACGGCGCCCAGCCGCGAAGCCGACCGCGCCCACGATGCTCAGGCCGAGCACGAACCACACCCAAGGGAAAGGGCAGCTGCACTCCACGGGCACCAGCTCCTTCACCGCCTCCCCTGGGCCGCACACGAGCTGGGGCAAGCAGTGGCAGTCGGGGCAGGGCGGCGGCGGCCGCGACAGCCCCCAGACCACGGCGGCTGTCTGCGCCGCCCGCGCTACCTCAGCCGTAAAGGCCTCGGCCAGCGCCTGCATGCGCGCGCGGGGCTCTGGGACCGACCACCCCCTCAAGAGCTTGAGCCGCGTGCCACGGATAGCACACGGGACTGTGAATTCTCACATGCGGCATCCTTGCGGCCATACCCTCCTGTGCTTATAGATCTAAAATCAACCATCTATATATATATATATGTGTACCACAGGCTCGGAAACTTACACCACACCAAGGCCCCAAGAACAACCGAAAGACAAACGAAACCTTCAGCGCCGAACCCCGTCCGCCTCAACGGACATGTATGTGGTCCAAACGCCCCCTCCATTAAGTTCTAAACGGGCTTGCGCCTGCGCGGGGGGCCGCTGGGGTGATCCACTCCCTCTCTTGGAATGTTAAAAGGACAATGAGTGGAGCTAGGTTTGGGCGATTCTGTTTGGGACGTCCTCAAAATTTGCCCGGTTTGGGCCCAGGTTTGGCATGGTTTGGGCCTGTTTGGGCGGCGTGCCACGCCTGAGGCATCCTCACAATTTGCATGGTTTGGCCTAGTTTGGGTCTGGTTTCGCCTGAGACGTCCTCGCAATTTGCCTGGGTTGGCCCTGGTTTAGCCTGGTTGGAACACGGTTTCGCCTGAGACGTCCTCACAATTTGCCTGGTTTGGCCTGGTTTGGGCACGATTTCGCTTGAGACGTCGTCACACTTTGCCTGGTTTGGGCACGGTTTCGCTGGAGACGTCCTCACAATTTGCCTGGTTTGGCCCGTCCCCCTCCCGAAGGGGTGAAGCGCCGCCCTGGGGGCCACTCCTTGCTTAAAGGAGAGCAGCCGGCCAGACCAAAACACTAGCCAGCGATGGGGCGAGAGCCGAGGAGTGGCCAGCAATCGGGCGAGAGCGCAAGTCAACGTCGTCGTCATCGTCAAATTTGTCGTCGTCGTCGTCGTCGCCTTGGGCCCCGGACGCTCCGATACACAATGTGCTTTGTCACATGGTGCACAAAAGTGGATATGTCATTCATTTACACACGTGGTGGGCGGAAACATTCGTGACGATATAGCCCCACTATTGCGCGACCCGTATAACAGGCGAAGTGGGCATGGACTCGGCAACTGTATCACACAGTGCAACCATCGATCACAGAATTCCTGCTGCTATGCGGAATTTGACTATGTGGCGGCGTTAGGAGAACACCTTTCCCAGCCTGTAGAACCACGCGCGCGCTTCGCGCGCGCTTGAAGCTTTAGCCGCGCCCAATGAACTCGCATCGCATGTTGCCAAAGAGGAATGCAAGAGGCGATTCTGGAGATCCTTCGGGGGTGGACCTGCGGCAACTTACTTGTTGGGATCCCAGTGACGTGTCAGGGAATCCTGGCGTTTCTTTGGCGTTGCTTGCGCTTTTTTGGGTCCACCCGAGGACCAGATGAGGACGAGGAGGAGGAGGAGGAGGAGCTTAGCAACGAACAACTATGCCCGAGTCTGGCTCCGAAGTACACGCCACCCAGGCCACACCACGGAATATCGAAAGCCACCCCCTCCCTTCCTGGCCACGCATCTGGGGCCAAACAAGGCGCAGCGAAATCAAGAACACCCTTCTGGGTCGCACCAGCAAAGCCTCCAATTCGATGACTCTGGCTTCTCGGCGGGCATTATAGAGCTTCCGCGCCATCCAGCCGTCCATGGGTAATTTTGAAGCCTGCTGGACGGCTGCTTGAACTTCGGTATTGGGGGCCTTTGACGTCCGTTTTTGGAGCCGTCTTGGGAGCAGCCTGGGCATTCTTGGAAACCTTGGGACCGTTTTGGGAGCCTCTTGGGCTGCCTTAGGGCCCTCTTGGGGCCGCACTGGGGCCATGTTGGGCCCATCGTGTGCCGTCTTGGGGTCCTCAGGGATACCTTGGGCCGTGTTGGGTTATTTCAAGTGCCCTCTTCGGACATCTTGAGCCGCTTAGGGGGCCCTCTTTGGGCCCTCTTGAGTTTCCTAAGGCCCATCGTGGGCTCTGTCAGGGCTCTTTTAGGCCATCTGGGGGTGAGCTCGGAGGTTGTTAGGGCAGTCTTGGGGGCACGGGTCTCGAAGCCCGCTCGATGTCCTCCTTCTGGACCCCTGTTAGGGGCCGTCTTGAAGGCTTCTTAGGTCGTTTTGGAGGCATCGTCGGCCTTTATGGGGCCCTGTTGGTCCGCCTTACCGCACTCTTAGAGCCAAGCCCTTCTCTGGCGATCTTGGCATGCCTTTGCGCCGTCTAAGGATGTCGGAAGTCCAGAATTGCGAGCCTGATGAAATACTTTTCCTTTTCGAGGTCCTGCGAGAAGGTGTCCAGCAACAACTCACCAATCAAAGGTCCGGTGGGAATTGCAGTGCTGCAGGACCCCTCGACCGGCGTCCCTGGCTAGAGCGCGTATCAGGCAAAACCGCCCACACGCGAGTCGCGATGCAAAACTCGGGCTGCTGCTGACTGGCAATCCTTCAATCACAGCTCCTTTCCGCGGTCCTGCAAAGAGGTTTCAAGCAAGGACTCGCCAATCGGAGGTCAATGTATCCTTATGGTAGATAAAGCATTGCGATTAATGACGAGAGAGAGAGAGAGAACAAGAAAAACAAACAATGCACCATATTGCAATATGCAACATCAAGCAAACTGCACCAGCCAGCAGAATGCACCAGAGAGGAAGGGGTGGGAGGAGGGAGGTAACCCCAGAGTGCTAACGGTGGCCTAACATTAAACCTCACCACATAATATTTCACTTGGGGCCTTGGTGGTCACCAGCTGTCATCTTCGGATCTATCATCAATCCAGCTCGATCCCCGGATCCCAAACCAGAGGATGGATGTTGCAGAAGGTAGGATCTGGCCTCGATCCGGCTCGATCCACGGAGGCCGGACCCGGAGCGTGCCCACTCGAAGATGATGCGTCCCAGGTCCAGGCGACGGCGCGCCCAAGACAGTCCCAGGTACGTCCAAGGCGAACCCGCTGGAGAATTGTGCCTCCGAGGGACAGACCATGTGAACAATGACTGCCAGCAGTGGCGTCCTGGATCAGGGCAGGAGCATTGTGAAGCTCCCGTGGGGATCTAGTCGAGATGCTCCCATAGAGAATTCTCAGCAAGGGGGGCAGACCTGGGCCGCCTTCCTACGGCCGCACATTAGCAAGACGACCCTGGTTAAAACACAAATGAGAGACAAACACAAACGAGTAGTACGCGAGAAGACATTGCAACCCGACCCCATGGCTTACATGAGCCGCCAGCGCGGCACGCTACACATTGGCCACATTTGGGCCTCCTGTGGGGGGCCGTGAGTAAGGAGGCCCCCTCCTTGATTGATCTCCTCCAAGATAGCCCCAAGACGGCTCCAAGAAGGCCCTAAGAGGTGCCCACGAGTCCCCAAGAGGCCACCATGATGCCACCAAGATGCCCCCCAAAAAGCTCCCAAGACATCCCTAAGAGGCTCCAAGAGGCCCCCGAGGCACTCAAGATGCCTCACGAGGCCGCCGAGACCCCCAAGACGCCCCAAGAGGACTCCAAGAAGCTCTCGAAAGAAATCCGAAGAGACTCCGAGAGGCATCCAAGAGGCCTCTGGCATTTCTGCTTGCCCTCCTCCTCCTCCTCCTCCTCCTCCTCTTCCTCATCGGCCTCTTTCCCCTTCTCCCTACTCTTCCTGCTCCTCCTCCTCCTGCTGCTCCTCCTCCTCCTCATCCTGCCCCTCCTCCTCCTGCTCCTCCTCCTTGAGGCCCCAAGCGTCTAGAACATTCACCGCTGACGACGACGAAGCAAAGTCGGGCGGGCGAGCGGGACATGGGATGCGACTGGCACTCTGTGATGGGACGGCGTCGAGGATCGTCAGGAGTGTCTCGGGGCTTCTGGGGGGGAGCTTTTGGAGGACTCCTGGGGGCCTCCTGGGACTTCTTGGGGGCCTCTTAGGGGACTTCTTGGGGCCGCTTGGGGGCCTCGTGGGAGCCGCTTGGGGCCTCTTGGGGGCCCTACGGGCGGAGAGCTCGAACTGTCGGTTCGTGTTCCCCCGCCGGGGTCTCTCTTGAGGCGTTTTCGGGGTCCTCTCATCTGTTTGGGGGCTGTCTTGGGCCGCCTGGGGGCGTCCCTGGCGGCCCGGTCCTCCCATGCGCTGTCGGGGGCCTGGCCCGGCCCCCCCGCCGCGAGCCCAGGGACATGTATATGTTTGTACATATATACACGTCATCTACATATATCTTTGTATATGTTTGTACAT